TCCCCCGTGATGGGCTCGGCCAGGCTGCGTGTGTGTGTGGGGGGGACGGAGGCCCTTTCCCACCCTCCGAACGGGACCGTGTGTGTGGGGACAGAGCTTTCTTTCCCCTCCCCTCGGTGCGCGTTTCGCTAAAACGGCCCCTGCTTTGACTACGGGGAGGATGTAGGCGCGGGGAGAGGTTTCCTCGCCTTGTTTGTGCGCAGATCTGGGGCATTGGAGAAACTTGGCGGGGCGCGCCTTCTCCGCGCTCCTCCTTCGGGGCTGCGCTCGAGTTGTTGTGGGCGCCAAAGGCAGTAATACATAATGCGCCCTTTTGACCTGACAGGGTTGTTGTTGTTACAAGTTTGCCGTAGGTTTCTGTTGTGTGTGTTTCTAAAATTTTAAAGGGATTGCCACCTTCTGGGCAAGGAACAGGAGTCACTGGAGGTGTATGTGTGTGGGGGGGAGGTATTTGTGAATTTCCTGCATTGTGCAGGGGGTTGGACTAGATGACCCTGGTGGTACCTTGAAGATGCAATACAGAATCTTCTTCCAGTCTGCCTCCTCTTTACCTAAGTGGTGTGCAATAAAAGCTGCAATCCCTAAGTACTGTTGCGAGCTTTGGTGTTTAGTTACTGGGAATGGATCTGTTCTATGGCTTTAGCCTAAAGTGTCATGCTTGGGAAGAGCCAGAACCTGTGACAGAAGAAGGGTAATGTTTCTTAACAATTGTAAATGTTTCTTCAGTGAGCTTTCAGTTTTATGAAATGGCTTTGTCCAAGTATTGGTAGGGTAGGTGCTTGGAGGGGGTGATCTCCCCAAGAGAGATCTTGTGTGTGAACAAATAGTGCTTTGGATTCAGTACACACATACATGTGGAAACAGACATTTCTGAGAGTTAGCGGTAAATAAAATTTTGTAAATAAAGTGAAGCAGCTTGAGGGTGCCAGAGGTCTTTTTCTTGTGGGTCTGATCTGATACAAGGTAGTAGTCCTGTTGCCCTGTAGAAGTTCCTCTGTTTCACTTATGCTCAAATTGTATACTTGTAGTACATCTCAATGCAAGGGAATTTCCCTTGTAGGATTTTCAGTGTGCCCCCCCCCCCACTTTTTAACATCATCATGTCAGAG